CGCACCACCATGCCCAGCTAATTTTTTGTATTTTTAGTAGAGACGGGGTTTCACCATGTTGACCAGGATGGTCTTGATCTCTTGACCTCATGATCCACCCGCCTCGGCCTCCCAAAGTGCTGCGATTACAGGCTTGAGCCACCGCACCCGGCTTGTTAACTTTTTTTTCAGGAAGTTGTATCCTTCTAAGCCCATTCTTCTAATATTTATCTCCTTTCTGAATTCTGACTTCTTGGGAATTTTGTAGACTGGGTTAAGAGGAATATTTGATTAAGTTTATTTTTACTCATTGTTATTCCTCCTAAAGATACTGTTTCAGGCTGGGCGTGGTGGCTCACGCCTGTAATCCCAGCACTTTGGGAGACCCGAGGTGGGCGGATCACAAGGTCGGGAGTTCAAGACCAACTTGACCAACATGGTGAAACCCCATCTCTAAAAAAATTTTTTTAAAATACTGAAATTTTGGACTACACTGAAAACACTACATATAAACCGGTTGCCAAGAGTTTTTGGTTTTGGGCCAGGCACATTGGCTTATGCCTATAATCCCAGCACTTTGGGAGGCCAACGTGGGTGGATAACCTGCAATCAGGAGTTGGAGACCAGCCTGACAAACATGGCAAAACCCATCTCTACTAAAAATACAAAAATTAGCCAGGGGCCTGTAATCCCAACTACTTGGGATTAGCTGGCTGTAGGGGTGTGGGCCTGTAATTCCAGCTGCTCTGGAGGCTGAGGCAGGAGAAACTCTTGAACCCAGGAGGCGGAGGTTGCAGTGAGCCAGGATTGCATCACTGTACTCCAGCCTAGGTGACAGAGTGAGACTCCGTCTCTAAAAAAAAAGAGTTTTTGTTTTTCCCTATAGATTTGTTAATTTTGTGCTAGCCATTGCTTAGTTATTTGTTTTTTCCTTTCCCTTTCTTCTTCATCCTTAAGGATTTCAGCTTAAATTTTTTCTTTTACTAACTTACATTCTTGTGGCAGTGTATGTTTTGTTGGTTTAAGAACATTCCCCACTTCCTCTATGTGAACTCTCTTCCCTGACAAAAAGCAAAGTTGGTAGTGCAGAGAAGTTTGTATTGTGTATGTTTTTAAGAAGGCATGGTTATCACATTTTAATTTATTACATATAACAATGTTAAGTGAAAATTATTTTTAATTCTTTTTTTCCTTTTTAGTCTTTATAATAAAGCTTTATACATCTTTTTTTCCTGTTTATTCACAAAAGAAAGGTGGTGGGAGAAGCTGTGGAAGATTCCTGAATGCATATGGGGATGGGATGATCAGCTGAAACACCATGTTCCCAGCCAGCTCACTTTCCAAGGTCGTGTGACTAAATTGGACCAGCTTCTCTAGAGCTGAGTGTGCCTAGTCACATTTACTATTTACCAAGTGCTTTAAAGATACCTGTGGTCATCTGCAGTACTCTAAACAGGTGTTCAGAATCTCTGGCAAAGGAGCTGGCCAAGCTTATTGCATGCCTTTGCATTGCTTGCATCTGTGGGCCAAATTAAGCTTTTTTAAAAGAAATTAAAAATCAAAATATTTCAGTTATTATATATATGGGTTAAAAAGGTGGAAGCATTAGATAAGGATGTGAATATATTAATATGGGTTAGGCTGCTTTGTTAGAATATATAATGAAGGCAGTATGCTAATGTAGAATTGAACATTTATTTAAAGAAGTTTTATAAATGATTTGTTTTCATATTTACCTATCTTTTATGTCAGAAAGCCTGACTTAAATACTCTAATCATGATCATGAATGCCTTTGTATTATGTAATGAATGCTTTAAGTCTTCCTTTCTTTCTCTTTGTCTAAGAAATGTAACCTCACACCTGAGGCGACGTCGTCTTTGAAACACTAGTGATCAAGAATAACCAGATAAACATGATGGGCATAAGGGTCATGACCAATAAGATCTCTCAGTGGCATCTGTATCCCTAAATATTAGGAATATTCATTCATTTTCAATAGTGCCTTCTGTCTTTGTGTTTATTGTTCTAAGTGTGAAAGTGAACTGTTATGATCCATCTCAGAAAAATACTGCCTAACCTAAATCACCAGCTTTCCTGTGGCATGGATATCCTGTCTTCTGAAGAACTGTTTTTGCTTTTCTGGAGCATGAATATTTGTTGTTTTAGAGTTCTTTATTTTCAAGTTCATATTTTATCTTTACTTTTAGTGCTTTTCCTCTAAGTACTCATGGAAATTATTTCTGAGTTATCAAAGCTGCTTTGTCAACATATAGTTTGTTGATATATGGAATAGTGTTAAGAAATTATGCACTTGGAAAAAACTGAAGGTGATTTTTCCAGGGAATATGTTTCCTGGACTTGGGAATTCTTGTTCAAATTTTCCCCACCAATTTATTTTTTCTCTACTATTCTTTTCACAAAGGAGCAGCACCAGAATAGTCCTTAATATTGGAGATAGCTGTTGTGTCACTTCCTCATGCTGACATATTTACTAGAGGGTAAAATTAATAACCTTCTAGTAAGAGTGGCAGTCGAAGGGAAGGGCTCATCTGACTTCTGGAATCCTGTGTTAAAATAGAGTGCTTTGAACCTTGATCATGGGATAATTAGATTGGAAATGAAACTAGAGGACCAGATACACCCAAGGAAGCTTTTGGTAGTTACTGTACTTTGTAAGTCACAGGAAATGCTTGTGTACTTTCCTGTGTTTCTTAAACAGCTGCAGTTAAATTACCTCTTTGAAATTGAATGAAGAGACAGAGAGTAGTTGTTTTCTTTCCAGAAATAGTACTTGTTTATAACTCTAATAGCAAAGAAATTTTTTTGTTTGTTTTGAGACAGTCTTGCTCTGTTGCCCAGGCTTGAGTACAGTGGCAGGATCTTGGCTCACTGGAACCTCCAGTGAGGAACCTCCTGGGTTCAAGTGACTCTCCTGTCTCAGCCTCCCAAGCAGCTGGGACTATAGGTGGACCACCACGCCTGGCTAATGTTTGTATTTTTGGTAAAGACGGGGTTTCGCCATTTTGGCCAGACTGGTTTCGAACTCCTGAGCTCAGGTGATACACCTGCCTTGGCCTCCCAAAGTGCTGGAATTAAAGGCGTGAGCCACTACTCCTGGCCAGCAATGAAACTTGAGGCTAATAAGATTGAAAGATTGTTCTAATAGTACAGACTATAAGGCGAGGAGGGTTAAAAAAAAGAAAACAGAAAGAGATAGGCCCTCAAAGCACAGAGTAATATAATCAACAGATACTAGTGTATCACATTTGAAATGCTTTATGTTTTGGCTTTATGTTGATAAGTTGAAAACCCTTGTTTTTGTTTGTTTGGTTTTTGCTTTGGCTATCTCATGTAAAAAGGCATGTAGGGGATGGCATTGATTATTCTAAATCATTTTTACTGGGAAAGCTTTTCCAAGACTTTGAATAGCTAAATGTCAACTTTTTTCTTAATAGTATTTTCATCTCAGCCTAGTGACGATGAATCAAGTAGTGATGAAACCAGTAATCAGCCCAGTCCTGCCTTTAGACGACGCCGTGCTAGGAAGAAGACTGTTTCTACTTCAGAATCTGAAGAACAGCCACTTGCTGAACAAGAAACCAAACCTTCTAAGGAGTTGAGTAAACGTCAGTTCAGTAGTGGTCTCAATAAGTGTGTTATACTTGCTTTGGTGATTGCAGTCAGCATGGGATTTGGACATTTCTATGGTAAGTATTTGAAAATGCGTTATACATAACCTAATGGGATAGTGTAGAGGCACTTAAGAGTGAGGAATCCTGGGCAGGATGTGGTGGCTCACACCTGTAATCCCAGCCCTTTGGGAGGCTGAGACTGGCAAATCACTTGAGTAAGGTTAAGAGTTTGAGACCAGCCTGGCCAACCCCGTCTCTACTAAAAATACAAAAATTAGCCTGGTATGGTGGTGCACGCCTGTAATCCCAGCTACTCTGGAGGCTCAGGTAGGAGAATTGCTTGAACCTGGGAGGCAGAGGTTGCAGTGAGCTGAGATCGCAACATTATACTCTAGCCTGGGCAACAGAGCAAGACTGTCTCAAAAAAAAAAAAAAAAAAGTCAGGGTTGGGGGTGAATCCTGGGATCTGTTTTCAGTGCCATTATTAAATGTATGGCCTTGAAAACTTGAAGCCTGTTTGAGCCTCAGTTTTCTCATTCTAGAAGTGGGTGCTGCCTATCTCACAAAACTTTTTATTTAAATAAGGTAGTAGTGGCGGGGTACAGTGGCTCACGCCTGTAATCCCAGCACTTTCAGAGGCCAAGGTGGGTGGATCACCAGACCAATATGGGGAAACCCCGTCTCTACTAAAAAAAAAAATAGAAAAATTAGACGGCTGTGGCCTGTGGTCCCAGCTACTTGGGAGGCTGAGGTGGAAGAATTGCTTGAACCCGGAAGGCGGAGGTTGCAGTGAGCCGAGATTGCGCCACTGCACTCCAGCCTGGTGACAGAGCAAGACTCCCATCTCATAAAAAAAGGCAGTAGTTATTAACAAATGTCTGGATAATAACCACATATGTTAGTGACTTTTTTAAAAGTTAAAGGATTGAAAGATTAAAAATCGGAAATGCTCACCTTGAGACAAATCATTTATATTTAGAATCATAGTTAAACTAAGTTGAAGTGTGGCTTTATTAAAGCAGATTATTGAATTCTTATTTGAAATAGTTACATTTGAAATGTGAGAATAATTAGTGTTCATTATTTCTACTTTGGGGTTTCACGTATCACACTCGTAACATTCATTGTTGCTTCTGTGATTCACATGAATTGAGAGTTTTTCATTTTTATCCTTATACTTCACTCTTAATTGTGGTTGATAGTGTTTATATATGTTGATTATCTTATCAATTCAAAGCCTTTAAATGCCTTTGTGTGAGAAGAGGAAGATATTTCATTGGTATTACTTTCTCATTTAGAAGCCTCACCATTGAATCTCCCCCACTTTCTTTTTTTTGAGATGGGGTCTTGCCCTGTTGCCCAGGCTGGAGTGCAGTGGTGCGATCTTGGCACACTGCACTCTGCCCCCAGGGTTCTAGCAATTCTCCTACCTCAGCCTCCTGAGTAGCTGGGTTTACAGGCACCCGCCACCACACCCAGCTAATTTTTTTGTATTTGTAATAGAGACGGGGTTTCACCATGTTGGCCAGGCTGGTCTGGAACTCTTAACCTCAAGTGATCCACCTGCCTCAGCCTTCCAAGGTGTTGGAATTACAGGTGTGATCCACTGAGCTCACTTATTTATTCTTTATTTATGTAATAGGATTTTTTTTTTCTTTTTTCTTTTTTTATGTTTTTTTTTTTTTTTCTTTTTTTGGAGTTTCACTCTTGTTGCCCTTTTTTTTTTTTTTTTTTTTAAGATGGAGTTTCACTCCTGTTGCCCAAGCTGGGGTGCAGTGGTGTGATCTCAGTTCACTGCAACCTCCGCCTCCAGGTTCAAGCAGTTCTCTTGCCTCAGCCTCCCCAGTAGCTGGAATTACAGGCATGCACCACCATGCCCCGATAATTTTTTGTATTTTTAGTAGAGACAAGGTTTCACCATGTTGGCCAGGCGGGTCTCGAACTCCCGACCTCACGTGATCCATCCACCTCGGCCTCCCAAAGTGCTGGGATTACAGGTGTGAGCCACCGCGCCTGGCCTAAGAATTTTTAAAGATCTGTGAAATGCTGATACTTTGAATAAAATGATTGTGAGAATTACATAGGTTATGGCCAGGCACGGTGGCTCACACATGTAATCCTAGCACTTTGAGAAGCCAAGGTGGGCGGATCACTTGAGGCCAGGAGTTCAAGACCAACCTGGCCAACATGGTTAAACCCAGTCTCTGCAAAATTTAGCCAGGCATGGTGGTACTTGCCTGTAGTCCCAGCTAGTTGTGAAGCTGAGGCATGAGAATCGCTTGAATGCAGGAGGCAGAGGTTGTAATGAGCTGAGATCACACCCGCCTGGGTGACAGACTGAGACTGTCTCAAAAAAAAATGATTACATAGGTTATATGCAGATTACCAAAATTTAAAAATATATAAAACATTTAATCATAACATTTATGTTACATATCCCTAATAAAAATCTTTATTTTAGGCACAATTCAGATTCAGAAGCGTCAACAGTTAGTCAGAAAGATACATGAAGATGAACTACATGATATGAAGGATTATCTTTCCCAGTGTCAACAGGAACAAGAACCTTTCATAGATTATAAGGTATGTACCACTAAAAAATATTTAAAATAATTGTTAGTAATTATTGTGCATATTAGTGCTTATTAGTGCAGATGAGTAAATCAGTAATAATGCTGATCGTTGAATTGAGTACAGGTGCTTACTGTGTCCTAGTCATTGTTATGAGTGCACCATATAGAGTATTTCTCTTACAACATGGGATTAAGCAAGTATTAACTTGTATAGGTAGGAAGAGGTTTAGAAAGGTTAAGTGACTTTCCCAAGGTAGCAACTGGCAGAGCTAATTTGTTTTTTGTTTGTTTGTTTGTTGGAGATGGACTCTCGCTCTGTTGCCCAGGCTGGAGTGCAGTGGTGCAACCTTGGCTGACTGCAGCTTTCACCTCCTGGGTTCAAATGATTTTTGTGCCTCAGCCTCCCAAGTAGTTGGGATTAGAGTGTGCGCCAGTATGCTGGGCTAATTTTTTTGTATTTTTAGTAGAGATGTGGTTTCACCATGTTGGCCAGTCTGGTCTCTAACTCCTGAGTTTGAACTCCTGAACCCAGGACGTGGAGGTTGCAGTGAACCAAGATCACGCCTCTGCACTCTAGCCTGGTCAACAGAGCGAGACTCCATCTCAAAAAAAAAATATATTCTTCCACCATGCTGTTGTTCTCAATTTGTTGTAGCTCTCTGCTCTGTGTTTTCTTGCGTATGAATCTTGTATTTCCCAGTGTTTATAGTATTGAATATATACCTCAGCCTCCTGAAGTGCTGGGATTACAAGTGTGAGCCACCACACCTGGCCCTGGCCTTTTGTTTTGTTTGGCAGAGCTAATTTGATTCCAAGAATTTGACTTAAGAACTTTTATTCCTAGCTGCTGTTTTATAGTCAACATCATTTAAAATTGACATTGTATATGTGTATATAGACATTTTTGTTAACATTATTTTTACAGAGGGAAGCAGGCATTTTCAGTTGCCAGGAGGGAAAAGAGGAGAGTTGTGGGTTTTTTTTTTTTTTTTAAGACAGAGTCTCGCTCTGTTGCCCAGGCTGAGTGCAATGGCACGATCTCGGCTCACTATAACCTCTGCCTCCTGGGTTCAAGTGATTCTCCTGCCTCAGCCTCCT